CAGGAGCCAGGGTCATGGTGGCAAGGGGAGGGGAATCACAGAGCTGTAACCAGTCCCTGGGCTCCTGTCCCTTCCCTGCAGTGAATGGGTTTTGACACATGCTATAATTTCATACCCGTAGCATTCAAATATTTATATTGGGGATTTTCTTTTTAGAAATAAAAGGAAATAGCTATTTCACTGAAAAGTTAATCACATTATTACCATCATCAGTTCTGAATGCGTTCCTTGGTTCCCCTACAGAAAATCCAAATAAATAATGAAATATTATCGTTAAATAAATTATTTCTTCTTTGTAAGAACGCATGCGTGTCACAAAGTCTACAGCTGGAAAATCTAATTTTAGTTCCTCCTTCTGCTACATACTAGTGCAGTACTGAATAGTGATTTGATCTCCTTCACATCTGTAAAATTAAAGGAGAACATTCTTTAATCCCCTTTAAAGCTCTGGAATAGATAACTAATAAGTTTGGCATACTGCTAGTAAAAAGCTCCCAGATTGGCACCCATATAATGCTGCTCCACAGTGAGAGTACATAAAGAGACAAATCAATGCACAAAATTCATCTGCTAATATGCTATTTTAAGTGGGACAGCAACGGCTCCCTGACCACAGTATGACCTCCCAAAATGTGTTCTTGCATTATGTCTCAGGGGTTTTATAATTTATTTATTCAGAAGGTGTATTTTGAATGGTTAGTCACATATGAGAAAAGACAACAATAATACAGTCAAAAAAATCCTATATAACCTACATTGCAAGATGAGATTTACCAGAGGAAAATAAGATACATATGATCTGTAGCATCTATTGCTAGATTCATGTACTTTATATCTAAGAAAATAATTTTATATTCTTTATTTTTTTTAAACTTCATTGAGTGGGCTGTCCTGTATCTTTTTTAAAACAATCATTATGTTTTCAGAATCTACTTGTTGCATTTATAGCTAAGTGATGAAAAGTGTCACTCAAAATACTGTATTGTGCCTCATTCATTACCAATAGTTTTGGGTGCAGAGCTGGGGGTGTCTTTATATGTGACAATTTTATCTGCCCTGACTTGGAATCACAGATTTATAGCTTTTTTTCCTGAAATATGCAAATTTACAAATGATGAAGTTTTCATCTCTGATTCAAAGAACAGAAATCTTCTTGACATACAAAAAACATACAAAGATATCTGAGATTATAAACTATAAAGAATTGCTGAATTTCTGGAAAATAGACTTCTCACTGTATGATTTCTAACCTAACACATGCAAAGGATGTTTCACGTGACCTACAGTAAATGCCAGTTCTGCTCTGACAAGTTATTACTTATACAGGTAGCCCAGTTAATTTCAGTGGAAGTAGCTGCACACTGGAATTACATCGTATGTGTGTGTAGGTACAGTGACTGAGAGAAAGACAGCACAACAATCAGTCCAATTTTGACTGCATTCATACCTCTGTAACTTAAAATTCCCCAGAAACCAAAAGCTATAGCAATGACATACCAAAAGATACGAGCTAGGCCTTTAGCATACAAATACTTGATCAAAGAAATGAGTCAAAATGATATTTTGCCTTTAATCCCTTACATATTTTGCCTCCAGTTCCCTAATTTGTAGTTCCACTTGATCCGGCAGATTTATGAACTGGTCTTCTGATAACAGCCAGAAATCAGAGAAAACTCCTGGCTTCTAATTGTTTATCAGCAGTAGATACACTCGCTTTCAGTCATACCATCAAACAGCAGAACACCCTATTGCAAGGCAGTATGAGTAGCATATTCTTTATGAGCTCTGCAGCAATTCTTTTAGCACTATATATGTTTGCATATATGTTTAAAAGGAATAGATGTAACCAATTAAAATAACCTATGTCTGAATAAAATTAAGCAGTGGATTGATTTTACAAATTCTCTGCAGAGGTAATGATGATTTCTAATCACAAGATACATGTGTCACACAGTTCTTCACATGCTCACCCTGCTTGCAAAAATTTCAGCATTTCCCTTGCCCCACTTCCCCTGCCGGTACGGAAAGGACCCAGGAAGCAAATTTAACGATGAAACATTTCTGCCACCAGCACCTTTGTAACAAGCCATAAGCACTGCTCCTGCGGCTGCTGCTACTCCTGGCTCCGGCCAGGAGGCTGCAGCCTGTATTCACAATACAGCTACAAGTAATTTTTTCGAGAACAATCTGATTACTTGCTCCACTGGAAATGCAGGCCTCTCGCACAAATCCCTCCACCTGCTCCTATCTGAGTCTTCACATGAAGCTAGACCTTAAAAACATCTCTGTTTATTCTTGCAGAGATGCAACAGCCAGAAAAAGCCAGCTGTGTTTGAAGTAGCAGCTCTGCTGGCCTCACTGCCATCCTTCTCCTCCACTGTTTTCCTGAGGAAAGATTTTATTACCCAAACCCCAGCCAATCCGCTGGCGGAAACCTCTGATGTCAAGAGCCTGAATAATTCATCTAGGGACTGGGACAACCCAACTACACTGCTGATATCCTCAAGCAGCAAGATGTGTGGCTGCAAAAAGCAGTGCAGTCTTCTCACCACTGTTTTTGTGATAACATACTGCTCAGCAAGCATAAAAATGGCTGAATGACGTAGCCCTTTGCTAGATTGTCATGCATATAAAGGAAAGTAGCTTTTAGAAACAACCGCCTGGGTTCATCATAGCATACTCTCTGTTTAGAGATGGATGTCCTTCAGTTTTGTATCTGAAACACTGAACAGGAAGAAAAAACAAGCAATGAATCTGGCAGGCATACAGGCTACTTAGCTTTTAATAATACATTTAAACGGTTGTTTAGGGAGCACGAACTACGAGGATGTGCATGTTCAAGGATGCACAGAATTTCTGAAGCAACCTGAAACGTACTGAAATTGCTGAAAATTCACAGTACTTTCTACTTCCTTAAACCAGAGCACCAGACCTTTGAACAGACTTTGTTTTGCACTGGTGAAACGAGCGCAGTTATGAACCAGTAAATGTGGGGATTCATATGTTGTTCACCTGCAGAGGCCAAAAGAGTAGTACATAGTATTGAAATGAGAATAAAAGGCCCACTTTTAGTATATTATAGGTAATGTATCATTATAAAGAGAGGTCAAATTCAAATTTATGTTTTATGTAAAACACAACGTGACTCTGAGGAGATCATGCTGTGTATGAAAGAAACATGGCAACAAGGTTTGGTTTTATTTAATCAAATATCTTTAAATGGCTGGCAATATTTCCATATTTTTACAAATCTTTTTTCTATTAAAAATGCATTTTTAGGCTGATTAGGAAAAAGGGCACATGTAATTGGTTGTATTTATTTAAAGTCAATTAGAAAAAAATATTTTGAAAGATGAACAAAACCAACCACGTATCTTGGGACACTTATGAATATGTTGATAAAATAGTCATCATGCATGCATATTTTAACATATATTGTCATGCATATCATATATGAGGGAGAGGGAGTAATGACATGCTTTCTCGCAGCACTCTTTTAGAGATAGAGCTTCCTAAATAGCCCGGTCTCTGCCTGCTGGGCATGGCACAGCCTCTCCCCAGCTGCAGCGCTCCGCGTGCCAGGGATGCAGCGTGCGGCCGGCGGATCACAGCTCGAGCCCGCTTACCTCAGGCATGTGGCGGTCCAACAGCGGCAAGGAGGCTGCAGCGTGGGGTTGCAAATACACGGGGTTACGCTGCAGGGTAACACGGGGGGGAATCTCGTGCGCAGAGTGAGAGACACGACAGAGCTGAGTTCACACACATGGGCCTGGCTATTAAAAGCCTCTTGACTGATTCTAGCTAACCTTAAATTTTGGAGATGTGTTTTGTTTTTACTTTAGTGACACACAATTCAAGTTGGTCACCTATCCTCATTTTCAGCATAAGTCATCCTTTTTTGTTTTGTTTGCTTTTGCTAATTCCGCCCTAAAAACTCCGAACAGTTTCCCATTTTTATTTTCAGATCTTTGGAGCCTTTAAGAATACTGTTAAAATAACCTGAAACTGCAAAGAAGTGTGCCAAACCACCTACGATGTTTCAAGATGTCACTTGAGAACACGTCACAGCACAGAAAGTGGTGAACAGCACCCTGCAGGGAAAGTTTG